GCAGAAGGAAAGGCAATGGCTTGGAGTTTTAGCATGGAAGTGTGTCTGCAGAGAAGCTCCTTGTTTCTAATCAGATTGTGTGTTCACTTGGAATAGCTGGAGGAGGGTTTAGTTGATGGAAATATGGAAGAATTAAAATTTCCTCCCTCCAGTGAAACCCTTCCAGGTATAATTTTCAGTCTACATCAATGGTCATATACTTGTCCAAAGCACTAAATAGTAATGAAAATAATACCTACATTCAAATACAGGGAAAGCAGACATCCAGCTCCTAGAAACATCCAGCTCTCTGCAATGTCTCTCAAAGGAAGATGTAATGGAGCATACAAGGGTGTTCTTGGCCCTATCCCTGAACCCATGGTTAGGGATTCTGATTAAAAAGTGATTTGTATCCCAATAGTGGATTCTTTATGGATGAGGTTTGGCTAAGCTCAAACCAGAGGAGGGGTACTCAATAAAGAAACTTTATCGTCCTTACAAAACTTCAACAGCTGGAAGAGATTTTATACCCTTTCTCATTAAGGTAGTTGCATTTGTTTCCCTCCTCCTGGACTTCCTTCAGGGAGAATGACGTCAGTGGATCATCATCCCCAGGTCAAAAGTCCTTCCTTCCAACAACCAGACCCCAGCAGCCCATCTAGAACAGATCAGCCAAAAACTGGGGGCACAGCCTACAACTCAACCCTGACCTAGAGGAAAGGTGAGCTCTGATGATTTTGAAAGCCAAAGCCTAGCATGATCTGAAATTCATGTGATAACAAATTATCAGCCCTGAATTTGGAAGATCTCCAAGGAAACTTCTCTCCAGAGCATCAAAGGAAGCCAAGAGAGATTACAACATCTGGGACTGCAGCTGAACATTTGAAGGTGATGACTGTTTAGGCAAGTGATTTACTGCTGACCTGTGGAGAAAACAAAGCAGAGCAGCGGTTGGGTGGATTGACAGGGCAGGGAGAGCAGCCAGTGAAGGCTGAACATGTGAATCATAACTGGCCCAGGGCCAGGTCCAAGTACCTGACAGTGAAGTAAAAGAAAATGGGCAGAGAGAGCAGGAAACCTGGGTTCCGGGTTCAGCTCTGCCACCTATTTTCTACCTGACCTCCACAGATGCTTCTCTGGACCTTGCTTTCTTCCTCTCTATACAGGAAGGCAGAGCTTAGGTCAGCATGTAAGTATCAAAAGCCTTCAGGGACGAGGCTGGGAATGTTGATGTGAGGAGGAGCTTAGGTGAGGCAATAAGGAAGACAGGGAATGGTGGTGACTGTGGTTAATCAGAGTGCACACACTCCTGACTAAAGGCTTCCAGTGCCTTGTTGTTAGAACACTGTTCTACTTGACACACCTCTGACCCAGGGTGACCTTCCAACTATTATCTTTGCACTGGATGATGACCACATTCTACTCTAATTCTCTGGGCATCTGAGATTGTAAAATGGGCTCAGTGTATACACATAACATACGCTTGGCTCAAATACAAAGGAAACAGAATCTGGGCTATTTGAATTAAGAACTTAGGCTTTGCAGTAAACTAGAGTTGAGTCTCTGGTTCGGTCACTAACAAGTTGTCCATGCTCCCTTGCTTACACTTCTGAAACTCGGCATCGTTGAAAACCACAAGATTTTCTATAGGCTTCTGGAAAATTTGTTTGGTGGCAAACTAAGCCAAACTATTTAGAGATATTACTTATAGCAGGGGTCAGAATTTTTTTTCTGTGAAAGGCCAGATAGTAAGCATTTTAGGTTCTGCAAATCCCAACTTACTCCTCTGCCCTTGTATCATGAAAGCAGCCACAACAAGTGGGCATGACTATGTTCCAATAAAACCTGATTTACAAAAACATGTGGATGTGACCCATCAACTGCAGTTTACTAACCACTGATGTGTACAGTTTAGCATGAATCTTCATACATTTTGCCACAGAAATATTAATGATCATGGGTGGTCTCCTGAACACCTGTAGCATTATGGTAGACAGAATATTAGCCTCCAAAGGTGTGTGTCTCCTAATCTCTGAATCTTGCAAATGTTACCTGACATGGATAAATGGACCCTACAGATCTGATTAAGTTAGTGAGCTTGAGCTGGGGGAGGTGACCCCTGCATTAATGAGGTGAGGTCAGTATAATCCCATGGGTCCTAACAGGAGGGAAGCAGAAGACTTGGAGATACCAAGATACCAGAGACATGATGATGGTAAGCAGAGGTCAAAGAAAGAGAAACTTGGAGATGCTACGCTACTGGCTTGAAGATGGAGGAAAGACATGAACCACAGCATTCCAGTGGCCTTGAGCACTGAAAAAGGCAAAGAAACAGATTCTCCTCTAGGGCCTCCAGAAGGAACACAGCCCTGTAGCACTGTGATTATAGGCCTTTGACCTATAGAACTGCACCATAATAAGTGTGTTGTTTCAAGCCATTGTTGGTGGTGATTCGTTACAGTCACAGTAGAAGCTTAGTACAGAGACACAGTGTAATATATGGTATGGATATTCAATTTTTTTCTAACATAGAAAATGTATGACATAAAGCTCTTATCCTAAGAGTTTCAGACTGTGGCTTGAGAACATATAGTAGTAGGATCTACACAATCTCAGGTGGAATCTCAGGCTTCCCGTGCACAGGATGGGTATAACATTGCATCTTCCCTCAAGGTCATTACGGAGGACACAGGGAATCCCCTCCTAGAGGCCCCTTCAAGGAAGGCCTTGATACCCAAACAATAAGAAGTGCTGTCAACAGTTGGCTGAAAAGCCCTTGGCCCCAAAGGGATTGTCTCAGGCACAAAGGCCCTTGAGGACAGGGGCACATTTGTGTTTATGTGAGGTGAGGGTGCTAAAGACCTGGCCATTTCCACAAAGTTGAGAATCAGATTTTTCAACTGTCAGCAAACGTTTCACTCTAAACCTTTGAGATTAGGTAATCAATGTGGATATTTCAAAACAGTTTGCTTAAGACATACCTAGTCTTCCAATATATGGGTGGAGTTTAGGATTATAGTAAATTTTTTAAATGAAGTTTTTAAAAATTAATTTATATAAATTAATTATATAAATTCAAAATAGGACTATTTTAGATTATTATAAATAAAATAAAAATATTTATTCAAATGGAGGAGTTTTAAGAAACAAGTGAATCCAATTAAATCTTAAAAGCATCAGGATACACAAAAGGAGGGGAAATTTTCCCAAGTAGGTAAGCCACACCC